AAATTCCAGAAAGATTTATTCACACTAGGAACTGAAGCCAAGTAAAGAAGTTCCTATTTGGTTTGAGACTATTATGATATTTCATTAAGTAATTTTAGAAAATACAGACATTTAGCTCCCATTTGATCCTAATCACTCGTTCTCTTTTTGCTTTTAAACTCTGGTTGAGCAACATTAAAGGGAATGCTATTTGGGCTTTGGTTATTTCTGGCTTGGGGTTCAGAGCTTGAGGTTCAAAGTCATGCCCTTATTAAAATCATTTACTGTTCTGTGTGTTTTTGAGAAAGTAATCTGTTTGATGCTTACTTCTTCCAGATTGATTTTCAAAATCAATCATTTAATAGAAATTTTTAATGCGGGTGGTGGCTAAAGGATGGAGGCATGGTGGCCATTATCTCTCATTTTATAATACATTGTTTGGAACCCTACCAAAAGATCTCTTTGCATTTCTGATGATGCATGGGATGCTTCCATAAGAACTTGTAAAATTACATCTGTGGTTTCTAGCCAAACAATAGACACACAAATAAGGTGAGCATTTTACACTAGGTAGTTACACTCCTTAGAACACTCAATTATGGGAGATCAGAAGGGCAGTATTTGCACAAGGAGCTAGGTCAGAGGGCAGGAATGCATAGGAAAAGACACAGGGAAAAGGTCACAGGGAGGAAGTGGGAAGAGAGCTGTTACATTATGGGGATTGCAATCAATGTCATGAAACAAAATGTGCATGAACTTCTGTATGGAAAATAAATTTGCCCTGTAAACTTTCACCCAAATCACAATTTAAAGAGAGAGAGAGAAAAAAAAAAAAAAAAACTTGTAAAATTAAAGACACACAAGTCATAGCAGCTAAGTTCCATTTTTCATCTATTGTTGTTGTTGTTGTTGTTATTTGCCGTCGAGTCGGCCCCGACTCATAGCGACCCCTCCTTGGGTTTCCGAGGCAGTATCACTACGGAAGTAGGCTTGCCCAACCTTCCTTCCGAGGAGTGGCTGGTGGATTTGAACCGCCAGCCTTCTGGTTAGCAGTCAAGTGCCTTAGCCACTATGCTACCAGAGCTCCCTTTCATCTATTAGATTAGCAAAATCTTTTTATGTTTGAAAATAACTGGCTCTGATGAAGGTTTGGAACAAGGACGCTTATGGTTTTTCAGTGTGATTATAAATTTTTGCCACCCCCTTGGTATACAATTGAGTGGTAACATTTCAAAGATTTTAATGTATATACCTTTGCTCTTAGTAGTCCCCTGCTAGAACTTTGCTGTCTGTGGTGTATTTGTTATCTATTAATGCGTAACAAATTGTCCTAACTCTAAGCAGCTTAAAACAACAAACATTTACCATCTCACATAGTCTCTAAGGTCAGGATTCTGGAGCAGCTTAGCTGGGTGGTTCTGGCTCAGGTTGTCTCAATAGGTGCAGTCATGCTGTCAGCCAGGGCTACAGTCACCTCAAGCTGGCCTGGGCCTGGAGAGTTGTTTCCAAGCTCTCTCACAAAGTGGTTGGGAGGCCTCAGTTCCTCTGTGGCTGATGCGTGAGGCCTCCCTTACTCACCACACGGGCATCTCCATATAGAAACTTTAATAGAAGTCTTCATTTACCACTAACTCTGAGGATATCAGATTTCAGCACAAGTTGTTTGTAAAGGTAAATCATTTTATTGGAGGTGCAGTAGTCTATAGTTTCAAAGCTGCAGGGTGCAATGGCACTAATTCTCAGGGCCTCAGTAACTTTCCAACAGATTAAAATGCCTTGAATACAGAGGCTTCTATTTGAATACTAGTTTTTTTTTTAAAAAAAAAAAAAAAAAGAACCTCTTTAACAAGAATACAATATAGTACAATACAGGTAGAACTCAGTTTTTTAATATATAATTTATTTCATTTTTGTTTTCATTCTTGAGAATCTGCACAACAAAGCATCCACCAATTCTACAATTTCTAAACGTGCATGACAATAGTATTAAATGTAATGACAGTGATTTAAGTTTTTACATTTGATTTTACATTTAAGTTATGTAGCCATTCTCACCCTCATCTTCTGAGCTGTTCTTCCCTCATTAACATAAACTTACTGCCCCCTAAGGGTCCTATCTAATTTTTCAAGTTGCTGTTGTCAGTTTGATCCCATATCTTAAAAGACCACAGTATTCTATACTAGTTAAGTTAGACTGTTGTTTTGTTTGAAGAAGACCTTAGGAAATATTTTAGGTTTAAGGTTTAAAGATGATGTCAGGGCAGTAATTTCAGGGGTTTATCCAACTTCCATGGCTCCCTCCAGAAAGTCTGGAGTCCATGAAAATTTAAAATTCAATTCTATGTTTTTCCCCTTTGGTCAAGATTCTCCTACAGAATCTTTGCTCAAATTGTTC